CGTCACTCCTCCCTCTTATTGCAGGCCTTCACAGTTAGAGCCCTAAAATCCCAGTCTACCTTTAAACCACTGCTTCCCATGGTACTTCTGGGTGCTCAAGAGCACAGACCCAAAGTTAAGACTCCTGTGCCTAATTTGGGTTGCCAGATCCAGGACTGGGAAGTCCCACAGATTTGGGGATGGAGCCTGAGGAGGTGTCAGGTTCAACAGCTCGCAAGTCCCCACACACTCTTCAGGGGAAAGTTATGCTTTATTGGAATATAAGTCTGTTGCCAAGTGGTACAGGTACATTGTTAGGAATAACAGTTAGGGCTGAAGCATCAATACATATACTTTGATGCTGCAGTTGGCTAAGCAAATGAAATCCAAGCGCGTGGGTGGGAATTCTCCTGGCGGGATATTACATCGTGAACGGGAGACTCTCCTTGCCCCATGAGAGCAGAAATATTCACACTGGCAGTGGAATGCAAGCCCTCCCTCCTCCTCAAGGTTACACAGTTAGCACAGTCTGGCAAAGCCAGTTTGCACGGTCTCATGAGCGCCTCCCGATAGTTATTCACAGCAGTTAAGCAAAGAAGAAGAGGAGGAGGAGGAGGAGGAGGAGGAGGAGGAGGAGATTGGCTTTATACCCCGCCCTTCACTTGGAGTCTCAGAGCGGCTTACAATCTCCTCTCCCTTCCCCTCCCCACAACAGACACCCTGTGAGGTGGGTGGGGCTGAGAGAGCTCTGACACAAACTGCTCTTTTTCAAGGACAGCTGTGCCAGAACTCGTGACTGACCCAAGGTCACATCAGCAGGTGCAAGTGGAGGAGTGGGGACTCAAACCCGGTTCTCCCAGATTAGAGTCCGCGCACTTAACCACTACACCAAACTGGCTCTCAAAGCAAGCAAGCAAGAATGTGCGCATGCACTACAGTTTATTTATTTATTTATTTAGTTATTTTTACCCCGCCCTCCCCGCAAGCGGGCTCAGGGTGGCTTACAGAGGGCGACAGGGATGAACGAAAACAATGAAAGCATGGTGGCTAGCTGACAGGAGGGTGAGGTTTGGGAGGGTGAGGGACCTCAGTGAGGTATAAGGATGTAGAACCCACCCTCCCAAGCGGCCATTTTTTCCAAGAGAGCTAATCTCTGTAGTTTGGAGATCACTCAGTTGTAATTCTGGGAGAGCTTCGGCCCCCACTTGGAGTTCGGCAACCTTAAGTTAGGGGTTGCCAGCTCCAGGATCAGGAATTCCTGGATATTTGGGGGTGGAGCCTAAGGAGGGTGGGGTTTGGGGAGGGGAGGGGCCTCCGTGGAGTATAATGCCAGAGAGTCCTGAGAGGACCTTAAGGCAGGGTCATCCTGGAAACCAGGCAACCCGACCGAGACTGAGTCTGGACTCCCCTGCAACCTTTACCCTGTTCTTCTTCTTCTTCTTTTCATCTGTTAAAAAAACACGCCTGACTTTTTTGTAGCTGTTAGTGGACCCCGTGGGTGAAGATGACTTACTGCTGTCTTTAACAGAATTAAACTCTGAGTGGTGTGCGGCGCGTGCAATAAAGCAGCCAATACGGCCTCTATTGGACTATGGAGGCTCCTTTGGTTAATTTTTCTTTGCTTTTCCTGCCACACAGAATACCCTGAAGTCACGAATGGGACGATAATATACTTGACCACAAAATCCTGCCTTTCAGGGCCATTAGGCCATGAATTAAAGCCACAAATGGAAGGAAACCTAGAGGCGCGGGTAAACCTTTCGTCAATGTTAATCAGCATTGAGTTTCCTGAAAGACGGGACCAGCCGGTGGCAGTCCTGCAGAGTCCAAAAATGCTATTAGACCTTCAAGTCCTAGAAGCATCCAAATGCGATTTGGCATGAGCCATTTATCCCGTTTGAGATTCTCCTCGTTAGATGCACGGAGTCCCGTGAAGCCCCTTCCGCCTGGAGGCTCTGCAGAGACATGTCGGCATGGTCAGCAGGTCTGCAGGGATCCTCCTGGCAGTGTTCCCTCTAAGCTGAGTTAGTGTGAGCCAGCTCATAGTTTTTTAGCCTCCGAGTCACACATTTTTGTTTTAACTCAGGAAGGATGACTCCAGAGCAAATTTTATGTAGTAGCCAAATCCCTCGCTCACAACTTTATTGCCAGTAGCTCACAAGCTAGAATTTTTGCTCACAAGACTCCACAGCTTAGAGGGAACATTGCCTGGCCCTGCCATCCCGGCTTGTGGGGAGCAAAAAGGTCCAGTCCACCCCACCACCTGCATGCCGAGGTCGCAAGCAGCTGCCGCTCGCGAGGGCACGAGGAGCATGTTGTTGTGCCCCCATCACAGCACAGTGGGGTGGAATGGTCACGGAGCCCAACATGTGAACGCAGCCAACGTTCCGGGCTCAAGGCGGACCAGCACTGGTCACTCTAGCAGAGCCCCTTGGCTACCGTGAGACTCCACAGCTTCTTCGTCTCTCCCTTCACTGGTGCTTCTGGGCAGGGCTGGCTTTAGGGTTTTTTGCACACTAGGCGAGGCTACCTTCTGGCGCCCCGCCCCCCGGTGCGGCCCACCAATTTTCAAACATAAACGCATCTTAGGAGAAGCTAGATGTCTTCTATTTTGCACACGTGTGGCCCAAAGTACCCCTAATTTCTACAGGCACCTCCGATTTCTAGAAACGTTTGGGAGACTTTCTCATTACTCTCTCTAGGCACATGCCCCCCCAAAGCTTAAGGCAATTCTGGACCATCCAGGAACCTGGAACTTGGTGTGTAGGCACTTCTTCATACTCTGATTTCTACTACTGTCTAAAAGGGGGCTCACAGTGAAGATGCCCCGCCAATGATGCACCCCTCTCCATGGCTCTCCAGCGCCTGGGGCTGCTTTCCCTCGCCTCCTGGGCAAGCCACCCGCCCTGGTGGTGCCCAGGACACCTCCCCTCCCCCACGGCGGGAATGGGGGAGCCATGGTCTGGGTGGTCTTCCCTTGCGGAGAACGCTGAACCACTGCCACCTCCTCCTCCTCGTGTCGCTGCGCCTGGAAAGATGCCTGCCGCTGCAAGGAGAACCGGGGCTGGCACCGGAAGCCCTGCCGAGCCACTCTGGTGTCGTGGTTAAGTGTGCGGACTCTAATCTGGGAGAACCGGGTTTGATTCCCCACTGCTCCACTTGCACCTGCTGATGTGACCTTGGGTCAGTCACAAGCTCTGGCACAGCTGTCCTTGAAAAAGAGCCGTTTCTGTCAGAGTTCTCTCAGCCCCACCCACCTCACAGGGTGTCTGTTGTGGGGAGGGGAAGGGAAAGGAGTTTGTGAGCCGCTCTGGGACTCCAAGTGAAGGGCGGGGTATAAATCCAATCTCTTCT